GGGACTGTATATAGATCCTATAGTGAAGGTGAATTATTTCTTTGAAAATCTTCTTCTCTGCCCCTGGGTATTGCTTAAACAGACTAAAGTACATTGTTATGATACACAAGGATGCCTCTTCCAAAATTGTGAATTTTATGACCCCAGGTTTAAGGGTTCTGGTGAGAGGGGGGGGGGGGGGGGGGCTTCTATTGATTATAAAGTGAAAAAGCAAAATTTCTTTGAAAATATTCTTTTCTTCTTCTGGTTAAAAAAGCAAAGAAGCTAAGTGTATAGTTATGGTGAGCAAGTGTGCTTCTTCCAGAGTGGTGAATTTCATGACCCCTGGGTCAGATGTGCTGGTGTTAGGGTGGGGCTCTTAATAATTTAGTGAAAATGCATTAATTCTATTAAATAATCCTGTTTGCTCCTTAGTGTTAAGCAGATAAACAAAGTGATGATGAGCAAACATATGGTCCCAGGGTCAGAAGCTCTGGTGTTTTTTTTTGGGGGGGGGGGGGGCTCTATTGATAATATAGTGAATCTGTAGTAAAAATGCATTATTTATTTAAAAATCTTCTCCGCACCTGGGCATATCTGAGGCAAACAGAGTAAAAGTTTTTATAAGGAAGGGAATTTTTACCAGATTTTTGAACATCTGGACCATTTGGTCAAGTGTTCTGGTCCTGGCCAGGGCTCTATTAGTTTGTATTCTACTGAGAGGAGTTATTCCCCTTTGCCATTTACTTTTGATAATTTATCACTGTAAATAATGTACTTGAAAGGTAAATAGAACAAGAGAATTATGCAAAAACTTTTATTGTATAATACAAAAAGTACTTTCATAGTTTTAATGATCAGATAGACTTGTAAGTAGTAGATAAATAAAAATGAGACAAAAATAACTTGTCTTATTAAATATTCATCAAAGACCAAGAGATGCCAATGTAAGAGATTTCAACAAAGGATTAAAATAGTACAGAAGCATTGATAATTTGTTAATATACTGTATAGTGATAGTGATAAATGGGGAACAGATTAGAACCTAATTTATGAACTGTTAATGAATATTAAGACCAATTATTTTGTTGATCATGATCACCCTATTTATCTTGCTTTTGGGCAACAAAGCTTCACCTTTCAGTTCATTTTATACTCTATGCATCCTTGAAATTGTTGTATCATACTCAGGTGACCGTTAAGGCCATTGGGCCTCTTGTTTACCAAAGTAATTCATCTGTGCCGATATATACAAAATGTATGCCGTAATATGGCAAAGAGCTAGGTTCGCTTTATGCATAAAATGGCCCTGTTCTTATATCAATTAATTGACTATCACCCTCTGTCCCATTTCATATATCAAAATAAAGTAGAGACTTTGTTCTTTCATTTTCTGTAACAAAATTTCTTTTTGAGAATCCAGGTATTGGATATCAGTCTATTAGAAAATGCAATGTTCTTGAATTTTGCAGAAAACGTGCGTGATTTGACTATCTTCAGCAAAGAATTAAAATATGAGCACAACCCACGATCCAAATATTAAAACATGTTTTATGATCTTAAGAAACAGATCATTCTTTATGTAATTGCATATTTTGGATCAGAAGTTGTGCTCTGTATGAAATATTGAAAAAATACTTCAACTTTTGGCCATTTTTAAAGGAATTTACAGGATATGAGGAAAATGACGCATTTTATGACGTCATAATACATTGACTAGAGAGAAAATTACGTCATGTTCAATAGATACATGGTCACCAAGGGTCCAAGTGATGAATACAGCATTTTCAACCAAAACTTAGCAGTTTCGATTTTTCCGAAATTCTCAGGGCCAAAAGAGGCCCTAAGTGGTTCTTGCTCTTTAGAGGTATTGGGTATTGGGAAAAAATAAACTTTGTAATAATTCCTAGACCAAACCAGATGGTAAACTCTTTTGAAATTTCACAGTTTGGTGCCTTTTTACAATAACTTCCATGTAATTGGCTGAAAAGAAAATCTCTAGGGCAGAAATACAAAAAATATGGGAAAATGTGATAATTTTGGCATAGGGTCCAATGGTAAAATTTAACAACTTTTGAGATGGCCCCCTAAGAAATAGGGATGGTGAACATTCAATTTTTTTTAATCTTAAAATAATTAGTATAATTATAGTAAAAATTCATTTAAGAAATTTTATTGAAATATCTAGGGTAGAAGTAATTAGACTCAGCCTCGTTAATTGAACCAAACCAAATCTAAAATGTCATACACAATATCAAAGTCACGAAGTTTAAACCATGAATAATAGGCATGAAGAAAGGACGTCTGAATTATATTCATCAGGATGAAATAGGCAGACATATTTACAACAACTCCAATGGTCCCAAATAGTAAACACAGGAACTGTTTATTAGGTCAAAACTTAAATAAAAAAAAGCAGTGAAATTGATTTATGTGTTCACAAGGTGGGCCACACGTCTGCTCATGAGGCGGGCCTCACCAATTGCTTACTACGTACTTTAATTTTACAAGACAGGTTTGTAAATACCACTGAAACACTCTTAATTAGCTCACCTGAGCCGAAGGCTCAAGTGAGCTTTTCTGATCAAAATTTGTCCGTTGTCTGTCGGCGTCGGCGTCGTTGTTGTCGTAAACTTTTCACATTTTCATCTTCTTCTCCAGAACTACTGGGCCAATTTCAATCAAACTTGGCACAAAGTATCCTTGGGTAAAGGGGATTCAAGTTTGTTCAAATGAAGGGCCACTCCCTCCTCAAAGGGGATAATTACGAAATAGCAAAAAATTAATGGCATTATTGAAAAATCTTCTTCTCAAGAACCAATGGGCCAGGAAAGATGAAACTCATATGGAATTATTGTCAGGTAGTGTAGATTCAAGTTTGTTCAAATCATGACCCCAGGGGGTAGGGTGGGGCCACAATGGACGATCAAAGTTTTACATAGGAATATATAGGAAAAATCTTCAAAAATCTTCTTCACAAGAACAGCAAAGCTATGATTGGTCATATTTATATGGAAGCATCCTCTGGTGGTGTAGATTCAAGTTTGTTCAAATCATGACCCCCGGGGGTAGGGTGGGGCCACAATGGACGATCAAAGTTTTACTTAGGAATATGTAAGAAAAATCTTCAAAAATCTTCTTCTCAAGAACAGCAAAGCTATGATTGGTCATATTTATGTGGAAGCATCCTCGGGTGGTGTAGATTCAAATTTGTTCAAATCATGACCCTCAGGGTAAGGGTGGGGCCACAATGGATGATCAAAGTTTAACATAGGTGTACATAGGAAAAATCTTCAAAAATCTTCTTCTCAAGAACAGCAAAACTTTGATTGGATATATGTTTTTGAAAGCATCCTCAGGTAGTGTAGATTCAAGTTTGTTCAAATCATGACCACTGGGGGTAGGGTGGGCCCACAATGAACGTTCAAAGTTTTATATAGGAATATATACGAAAAACCTTTAAAAATCTCAAGAACAGCAAAGCCACGGTTTGTAATATATGGAAGCATCCTCAGATAGTGTAGATTCAAATTTGTTCAAATCATGACCTCCAGGGGTAGGGTGGGGCCACAATGAAAGTTCAAACTTGTAGAGAAAAAAGTCACCGTTAGTCAAAAAATTATGTAAGCAGTGTAGATTTAATTTTGTTCAAGTCATACCCCCCCCCCCCAACTCCCTTTTAGGGGTAGGTTGGGACCATTTATGCATTTAAGCTTTTCAATACTAAACTGATTTTTCCTTTTTTCCTGGCCACAGTGCTCAGGTGAGCGATGTGGCCCCTGGGCCTCTTGTTAGTAATGGTATATTTTATTAAAGAAATGTTTCAGAGTGTAGGATTCTAATAAGCTAAAGTCATAAGGTTGATACCTCGGAGTTGCCATTGTTTTATAACATGAACTATCCCCTGTGACCACATGTTGTGGGCCATTTTGAGCAACAAACGGTTGAAAATCACAGTAGAACAAAATCGGCCGTTCTGATATGAACAGATTTTGATGAAATTATAAAATATGATAAACATTAAAAAAAATATTTGAATAATCTTATTAAAAAAATCTTTTCAGTCGGTGCGATTTAATTGGGTCGGTCACATTAGGGGAAACAAAGATTTTTTATTTTGGCCCTAGTACTTTGTCTTGGGTATGACAAGTCTTTTAAAGCAACAAAATATCAAATTATTTTGATTGAGAAGTCCGGTGTGATATTGAAGCAGAGTAATTTTTTTTTATAAAAGTTTATAACTGTCAGGAGAGCAGATTTGTTAATTAAGAATGGGTTACTGTCACTGCAAGAAATTTTATTTATTAAAACAAGATTTTATGGTTGATACAGGTATATTCATTGGGGGGGGGGGGGCTGAGACATAATTACTCTGTGTATATCCCCCCCCCTTCTGTATAATATGTTCATACAAAACTATGAAAGATTATAACTAAAATATGAATTTCTGATATTGATGTCTAATATTATTCACAAAAGGGGGGTGTTTAAAGATTGTAGTCTTTTTCAGGGGCCTCTATACATTGTGGCCAGATAACCTTTTGTTCCTCATTCATGAAATTTAATAATTTTATATAAATAACCCATTAATATCCAATGAGCTTATTATCTTTCATATAATGCCAGAAATTTTGTTACTTATAAAAACTGAGTTATAACTATTTATCAATTTCACTAATTTACAAAGTTTCAAGGAGATCCATGCCATCATGGACTGACATGAATACCATATAAGTGGAAATTTTAGCGAGACGCATATTTAGCTATTTGTCCTTAAAAACTGGTATTTTATTTTTAGCGAAATGTAATTTTAGCGATTTTAAAAAGCTCTCTAAAGAAGCTATTACAAATAAAGTCCAACAATTTTTAGCGAACTTGGCACCCTTGCTAATAATGCCAAAATTAAATCCTCACTAAAAATTCTGCTTAAACGGTATTTTAGATGTTCATGGACTTAATGACAAGTGGTATAACGCAGGGAGATAACTTATGTCCTTGAATTAAGTTTCTTTAAATTGTAGGTAAAGAAGGCACCATTAAATCGAGATTCTAAAGATATAAGACAGCTTGTTGGGGAAAAAATTATGGGACAAGTTGGCCAATTAAAATACTCTGTATTTTATCCACATTCTCTTGGAGTCATTTGCATGGAAACAAAGGTACAAATTGCTTACAGGGTACAAACAATAGAAAACTAGTAACTGAATTGATATTCATTTTGCTTTAGCCAAAGAATCAAGTGAGCTTTTCTGACCAAAGGATGTCCATGTTGGTTGTGTATTCAGTAACTTTTCACATTTTCGACTTCTCTAGAACCACAGTTCTACCAAATTTGTCAAAAATCATTGTTTTGTGAAGGGGATTGGATTTGTTTAGATGAAGAACCACACCCTCTTTCAAGGAGAGATGATTAAGATATACAAAATCTCAAGAGCATCTTGACCAGAAACATGAGAAAAAGCCAGCTTCTTTGTGTAGTATACATGTACATGCAGAGAGGGCACCAAGAAAGATTAGTGTCTTACTCTAATTGGCTTACCCTCTTTAAAGTATTATCAGTATCCCCCCCCCCTCAACCCCACCCCCTCACCTTAACCCCCAAATAAAATGCATTATGTCCATCTGTCTGTTCAGCTTTCTGTAGATATGATTTTGTATGGGCATTTTCTTGGAGACTACTAACCATACAGAGATGTGCACCTGCTATTTGCTTTTTGTCTGAACAATTAGGTCTAACTTTGTTTTTGTTCTAATGAGTGTATTGTTTCTTTTTATTAAGGTCTTCCGTCTTCGAGAGACTATAGTGCTTCAACTGTTTCATCTTCTTACTATTTTTCAGCCAAATTTGTGCACATGGTTTCTGGAAAAGTGATCGTTTGTTTTTAATGAAACTTTCAAGGATAATTGGCATTGGTATATATTTATGCCCTGCCATGAATATGGCCAGGGCATATAGTGTTTGTCATGTCCATCTTCTGTCCTTCCATCCTTCCGTCTTTCTGTCTGTCCTTCCATCGCGCTTTTTGTTTAGCTCTGTTCAAAGCTCAGTTTCAAAGAAACTATCCAAGATATTTTTATCAAACTTCATATGCTGTTAGATATAGATGAGAGCTATGCAACTTTATCAACATTTTTTGACCTTGGCCTTTCCTTTGACCTCACTTTTCATTTAGTAGTCTTTAGCTCAGTTTTAAAGATACCATTCAAAGATACAAAGATTCCAAAACCATATAAGGTCATCTAGGAACCGTTGAAAGGTAAATAAAGTATGAAGGATAGGAGTAAAATATATGGTTAATTATCGGATACCATTCTTAAAGCGGGGACAAGCAATAAATAAGAAAAATAATGCCCGAAGCGATCGACAAAAAAGTGGCAGTGTAAATTGAAGGTTTTTATAATGCTTGGATCTGTAGCTCTCTGCTTTGTCTGTCCAAATTTTCTCAAGCAGAGAGCTACAGTTCTGCAGCTACCCCAGGGATAGAGTGGGGCCACAATGGAAGACCAGATTTTAATATAGGAATATATAGGAAAATTTTCTAGAAAATTCTTCTTCTCAAGAACAGCAAAGCCATGATAATTAGTAATATTATTATGGAAACATCCTCAGGTAGTGTAGATTCAAGTTTGTTCAAATCATGACCCCTGGGGGTAGAGTGGGATCACAATTTTTGGATCAAATTTTCATGTAGTAATATATAGGGAAAAAAATTCTACTCAAGAACATTCAGATACATGTATGTTCCAATCATGTCCCTGGAGGTAGGGCAAGGTCTCAATAGAAGATCAAAAAGTATGGCTTAGGCAGATACCAAACGTTTGGGCTGATACCAGGGTAGAGATCAAAAAGCAATGGGATATTAGGGATAGGGTTCTAATATGGGGACATATTTTGTCAGAGGAATAAAGGTGTGCAATCATAAAAATCTACTAGTGCTACTCAGGTGAGCATTGTGGCCCATCGGCCTCTTCTTTCGTTAAATGTTTGAAAAGTTCAACTTTACTGAGTACATTCTGAATATTTACTTGAATTCTCTTATTTCTTTGTAGTTAATTTTTGTCCTCCTGAAAATTTCAAAAGAGCATTCAGACAGCATATATTCTGGAGACAGAGGAACAGGAGAGGATCCTGGGAAAATTCATTACACTGAGCCATTTGACATGTTAATAGCCAAGGACAGGTCTCAAATTGCAGATTTTATGTTTTGGTTAGGATTTGCTCAAGATTCTAGGAAATACAAGTATTTTTGATATTTTGGCTGTATTCTGGATATCCATTTTAGTCTATTCATTGGTCCTTTGATCATGATTGTACATAAGAAAGTGTACCTGAACATTTAAAGAGAGATATGTACAAGGGGTGATCAAGAAGATTTGAGACTGAATTCAACAAATACAATAGTTGCCTGAGCCTCTGTTCATTACAATTTTAGTTAATAGCATACACATGTAAATGGTAAAAGATGAATTTAGGTCAAGAGTTTCATGGTCTCTTCTCTGTAGGGCTTAAAGGGTGTGGCAAACATTGTCAAAGCTAATGCAAACTTGTTTACTATTGACATTTACAAAGTTAATTATTGGCAAGAATAGCAATTATCCCCTTACCTTAACATTTTGAAATTCATGGCCTTTGGTTCTATGGTCCAGTCTCCAAGATGGGGCAAATTAGTCATATATTGAAAATGCATTATATCCTATAAAATCTTTCTTTATCCATGGACTTCTAGCTGGAAAATGTTTTCATAATTATAATGAGTTCTTTTCACCAAACTTGTAATTAGCATGTAGGTAAAAGGATACTTTGTGGCAAGTTTGGTTGAAATTGGCTCAGTGGTTCTTGAGAAGAAATCAATAATGTGAAAAGTTTACAGACGGATGGACAGACAGACAGATGTACTACAGCCAAATTGTGATCAGAAAAGCTCACTTGAGCTAAAAATGTAGATGTAGCATTTTGAAAAAACTCTGAAAACTTGGAACAGATATATGGATGACTGACACCTTCAAGTTTGTTCAATTCACGCCCCCCGTGGGTAGGGTGGGGCAACAATGGACGATCAAAGTTTTACATAAGAATATACAGGAAAATCTTTAAAAGTCGTCTTCTCAAGAATAACAAAGCCATGATTGGTCATATTTATATTGAAGCATCCTCAGGGAGTGTAGATTCAAGTTTGTTCAAATCATGACCCTGGGGGTAGGGTGGGGCCGATGGACGATCAAAGTTTTACATAGGTATATATATATATATGTGACATGTCATGAGATTTTTGCCCAAATGCGGCATTGGTAAAACAGAGAAATGACGTCATAAACAAATCACGTTTTTCTCTCAGTTTTTATACCCCTCGCAAACGAAGTTTAGTAGGGGTATATTGGAATCAGCTTGTCCGTCTGTCTGTCTGTCTGTCTAGCTGTCCGTCTGTCTGTAGACGAGATTTTGTCCGGACTGTTTCTTGGAAACTGTTGCATGGATTTGTCTGAAAATTTGTACACTTATTCTTTGCTATATGAAGGTGTGCACCTGGTATTTTCATCATGATTGGATAATTTTTTTGCATTTTACAGGTGTTTTTTTTTTCATTTTTATTATGTGGTTTTGTCCGGATCTGTTCCCAGAGACTATTGCATAGATTTATTTGAAAATTTGTACACTTATTATTTACCATATGAAGATGTGCACCTGGTATTTTCAACATTATTTGATAATTTTCTGCATTTTACAGGTGTTTTTTTTTTCATTTTTATTGACTTAGTCATTTCGGTTTCATGTCTAAGGTTTGAGACATAGAATCTAGAACATCTGAAAAAAAAAAAATGTGAACTACAGCTTAAAACTACTCATTAGAACTAAAAAAAAATCACAAAGTATTAAAAACAGTTTTTACATTACACAGCAGATAGTGTAAATCCATTTGTCCCTTGGGAGTAATGAGTGGACATGCATCCAGTTGAAGATTAATTAATGAGTTCAGTGTGGGAAGCTGTTAGAGCATCTCTGATCAAGCAGGTCTTATCAATATCTCCTGGGAATTGGGCAGAAAGAAATAAAGATCTCTGTTGTCTAAGTCTCTTAATTGTAATTTATGTCTGTCAAAGTACATAGTTACTGGGACCAGCCTTTTATTTTAAAATGAGTTTGATATAAAGGTATTAAGATCAATTTGATTTTGTATGATTAATTATGATTTTTTTTTTCAACAATCAATTTGCAGAGTGTCATGTCTCACAAAGATGACAGATAGTTGCAAACTATTTTTTCAATGTAATAAAAAACACTGTAATTACTAGTATTGATGTTTTATTAGGTTGCACCTTAGTTTCATTCATTAAAAAAAATATAATGAGTAATTAAATTTTCACTCTAAACGTTTGAGAAAATTGTGAACACCTCTCACATCTAGAAAACATTAGTGATTTGGTACCTTCTCTGAAAAAGCCAGCGGGGGGTATTTGTCCCTTTCGGACAGTTCTAGTTCTCATTTTTTACTTCATAATCGGTATAAAAAATAAAATAAAACTGTCGCACATTATGGGTTTCCAATGAACAAAATAAAAAAAAAATTCTGAATCTTTATTTATTTAACATTTAATACTATATTTTATTTGACAAGGAATTTTGTGAGAGATCATGACTTTAGTAGGTTCTTCTTAGGTAAAATGCATCGAAAGTGAAACTATACTAAGATGGGGTGTTGCTAAAACGAGGAACGGAAAACGGAAAAAAATGACTTTTTAAATATATTTAAACGACAAACAAGTTAATTCTTTCGTAGCAGCATGATTTACAAATTTACATTGAGCAAAAGGGGGGGTTGGCATGCCTATTGAAAATTCGTTGGTTTCGGCGATTTCTCATGTGCAATAAACAGTTGACAATTTCAAATGAAAAGATTTTGCCCCCTTAAAAAAAAGAAATGACTCATTATAAAGTTTTTGTTTAGTTTTCTTTCTTTATTGGACATTTATTTATTATTCAGTGTCCACAATAGATGGTGACTGTCAAAGCTGTCCGATCTTTTTAACATTTAAATTGACGATGTACATGTACAGTTTAGCGTCTTTGTCCAAAAATTTGCATTTTGTACGTAAACGTACGTTTGAACGCGTGAAAATTTAAATATATGTACTTTTTCCTGAAATATTGCCGACTTGTAATTAAACAGTAATAATCAATCAATCGATCCTAATAAAGGAGCTATAACTACCTTGCCGAGAACACGCTCACATCAAAAATGTAATCCGAAAACACCTGTTTCTATATCAATTAAAACGATTCTAATAAATAAATGCATCGTTTTTACAAGAGTAAACGCACCAGGAATGTTCAAATATTTTTTCATAAGAGATATACAAAATAAAAAAAAATGTGGAAAATAAATGACAGGAAAGCAAAATATTGGTCTTGGTTTATCGGAGTTAATAAATTTCCATGCAGAGTAATGGAGAAATGACCTTAGAAACACTCCCTCCAGGTCATACAACGTACCCCTCTTATATGTATGTTAAGAAGAGTAATTTATCTGAAGAAATTTTACAACATAGGTTTCTCAGATTTGAACTTCAGGTTTAAATTATTTTTTGCTTGGTTTGCGGTTTTTATTATATTTTTAAATGTCAAAAGATTTCATCATTAATTTATTAATGTGGAAGCCACCCCCCCCCACCCCCTCCCCCAGCTTTCTGGGGGAAAAAATTCTGGATCCATGCATGGCAAAATCATGGGGAATATGAGATGAAAAATAATATTCTATTTTTCTGGTTAAGGGTATTTTGGGCTAAAGGTTTTCGTTGTTCAGGATCATACATGAACTTAAATGTTTACAAAATATATTCAAAGTCTATTTACAGAATATCCAATGCAAAAAAGGCCTATGTTAAAATCATTGGAAATATATGGTGGTATAATAAACGTTGGTATATTAAGGATATGCAAATATTTTTGTTTCTTCTTATGTTGGAAAATATTATGTCGTTCGCACGAGCGCTAGCTAATAATCTCTTTCGTACAACTTATGACATTTGCACGACTTATTATCTAGTTTGCACGAGATAATTATTTCGTTTGCACAATATTATTATCTCATTCACATATAATTTTCACGTTTGCTCGAGATAATTATCACATTCACATAAATTATTGATTTAGTTCGCACACAAAAGTACGTACTATCGTACTATACTTTTAGGAACAACCTACTACGATGTTATCTCCCTTATCAAAAAGTTACTTTTTTGTCAAAGTAAACAAGCTTTTGTTAGATTTTCCTTCGTAAATCAACAGAATAAATCAGAACATTATTGTGTTGAGTGCCAGTTCAATTCCTTGTTAACAAAGAGAAGTGTAAGGAGTAAATTTATCTGACAAGTCAATAAAGTGAAAGGGAAGAAAAAAATGTCCAAATATTTAGAGAAAAGGTGTTTGTTGGGTGGGGGGATTGGGAAGGCACCTCCACTACCACCCACCCTCTCTAGACCTATGCTATGTATGTTTAAGAAAAAAAAAACAATCTGTCTAGTATATATACTTAATTATGAATTGCTCAAATCATAACCTCTGAAGAAGCTGTATCACAAAATAGTGATGTATTGCATTGCATGAAAACAACAAATGGCCTTTATTGATCTGATTGTCCGAATAATCCAAATATGACGTCATATCTCCAAAAATAGTATGCATATGAGGATAAAACTTTGTCTTAGTAATTTTGGACATATAAGCTACAATATTATGTAAAAATGTCATTTTTGAAAAAATCCTCATTTGGACCCAAAACCTCATGGCTGGTCACATATATATCTATATATATATATATCTATATCTATATCTATATATATTTATCCCACGTTTACCCCTTTATCCCGTGGATATGACTCATTGGATAATTTTTTCATAATCCACAGTTGTGACGTCACAATGGTTTTTGCGTTAGCGCGATGAAGTAAAATAAAGTGGAGTCCTATATAAAACAGTGTAAAACATTGGTTGTGAAGTATTAAACATGGGATAAAAAGAATCTGCCATGATTTGTAGTTGGATATGACTTTTATCCAACTCGTTGTGTGTTTTTATCCCCTCGCGAAGGCTCGGGGATAAAAAACACACAACTCCTTGGAAAAAAATCATATCCAACTACAAATCATGGGAGATCTTTTATATATATATATATATATATATATATATATATATATATATATATATATATATATATATATATATATATATATATATATATATATATATATATATAGTATAAATCCACACACGTAGTCCTATATAAAAAAAATCACAACACCGAAATAAACTCGATCGGTTTCATTTTCAATCTTCAGGTGTTTGACAACATATTGCTTAGTTATACATAAATACAAAATCAACATTCTTACTGTGACGTCAAAAAGCGCTAATG